CCTTGGCACCTATATTTTTAAGTGCGTGCCATGTACTCTCCGCCAAGGATCCCCTCACATGGCTGTTGCCGAAGTTACTGCCCGGCCGCCGCTCCCCAGGCACCATAGGCGGGTGCCCAGGGCACAGCTTCGGTGCCGTCCTGTCCTTGAGGCCTGGGCTGAGCTCCTTGTCCGCTTTGATAGCCCTCTGCTTAAAATTGACTGTACCATGTGTTTCTTGGATAGTTTCATGGCAATCTATGCTTAACTACGCTTGTTCCTCTGCTCAGACTTTCCCAAAGGCGAACGACTGTCGCAATTCAGCTGCCCTTACTGCAAGAACTGTGAACCTCAAACTCCGGAGAACGAAAATGCAAGAAAGTGTTAAAACTCCAAGGATTTCTGAATCAGATGGAAATGTGGCTTCTCCCAGGCTTGAGACACGATAACTCTGGAAACAGAACATACTTATGAAAGAGTGATATTTGATTTATGAGTCATAATGTGCTCTCTTCTAGCTATGGGAATGACACACGTGTGACAAAGAGGATGAATTTCTGAAATATTTGATATCCAACAACACTTGCCAAGAGAGGATTTGTTCATTGCTGGGTATTTATTTTAATATAGCTGTCTATACACTCTGCATATGAATAACGTTATCTCGCTTGTTACAGTGACAAGTTTGCTGGTGTGCTTGCCAATAGGATTCTCTGAATAGTCTAGTCACATAGTGGGCACTAGACTGTGCTGTGACATTGGATATTGTAGCCTGCTTAGCTCTTTATCAGTACTTCCCTGAAATTAAGTTAAAGCTAAGTGTGACCTGAAATTGACACAATGTCTATATACTTAACGCTTTAAAAACACTTGACAATTGTTGCATAGAACAAGCTACACAATTCTCCATGAATATTTTAAAATAATTAAACTGGAGAATAAGGAAGTACTTAAGTAAATGGAATAAAAAGGAAAAGGACTGTAAAATGAGCACAACAGGCTAGGAGCGTTGGAAAGAAGGGGTGAAAGTTCAAGGGATGGGCGTATGTTTACAAAGTACTGGTTTAACAAACTTCTATAAGGCAATCAGAAAAACAGCCTTTCTGTGAGAGGCATATAACTATTTGCTTCAGTTTCCAGTCATCTTTTTGGGTAGGTGTTCCCTGTGTCTGATGTGAGGCAACTATTTTTTCATGCAGGATTCCGTCTTGGTTGCTTCTTCGGCAGGAAAAGTTAATTCCCATTGCCTGTAATTCTCTCCAAACACGAGATGTTTTTCCTTCTACCCTTTCCTGACACTACAGAGTTTCTCATTCTGGACTAACTCTCTCAACCTGTTACTCCTGCCTGTTTTCTTCCCTGTTATCTCTTCTCCAGACAGCATCACATGAGAGAAACAAAAAAATCGGGAAATGATGGAGAAATAAAAGCTTTAGGAATGTGAGTGTTTTGTTTTGATTTGTTGTTTTTTTTTTTTAAATGACCAAAAATTGTAGATGCAAAAGTCATACAGAACGGAGAGAGAGAACTGTGGGAATCTGATCTGAAATATCTATAATTTCCTGGGCTTTGAGCCAGCATGCACATACACAGAAGAAATGATTCACTGGGTGTAGTGTCAGAAAATACCCTGGGGGACAGTGGGGTTCCTGCTTAAGAGATGCTATGCCTGCAGCTGACACAGTCACGTACAGTTAAAATGTGAAGCAACGGCACAAGTAGAAAGCACTTTCCTGCTGTGAGGACATACTGAGGCCAGCTATTTAAGTGAACAGAATTTATGGCACTGTGTCTTCCCAGTACAGACCTGATTTAGAAGACCATTTGTGGGCTATTAAAGTAAGATCCCTATCTATTAAACTATTCAGTGACTCACAAAGAATTGTAAAAATCTAGCGATAAGGAATTAATTAGTGGTTTCCTGTTCTGAAAGAGACATAACCTGAGGTTTTGGAGACTTGTGAATGTAAGGGCATTTTTTTTGATAACACAACCTCAGTTATGAAAAGAAAACAAATACAATAGCACAACAGTTGTGTTCTTGTGACAGCAAAGATATTGCAGTTCAGTAACTGCAACTCAACGCAGAAAAGCCTGTATAGTTATTGAAAGGAGGTCAGAAAAAAACAAGATACACGATCGAGAGACACAATCAAGCCTGGACTGACAATCCAGGCACAATCAATGTCTGGGTTCTTTTAAATTTAAGTAGACCTCTAGAACAGAGGTAGAAGAATTGTGGGCATAGGAATTCATGTGTTTGTGCAAACATGCAGAGAGACAGAAAAGCAGAGGTTATGACCAGTGAGGAACTGCAACATAAATTACATGATTTGACGTTGAGGGGTTGCTACAGAATGAAGCCCAGCTGAAGACAGTCAGGAAATTTTGCTTCTCTGGGAATGAGATTCTCCTGCCCAAAGTTTAAAGATTCTCCTGCCCAAAGTTAAAAGGCATCTAACACACGCTTGTCTGCTCCTCCCATCAGTAGGGAGAGAAGATACCTCTGCAGGATAACGCATCCCTTTCTGTCGCATACAAGGTGAAACACTGTCCAGCCCTGACTACCTATTAACTACACAGGCAGCTTAACAGTTTGCTTCGACTAGAAATGTTCAGATGAATCACACGTGATGTGGTGGGCCATGTTAAAGGTACCGAGTATTAGCAGAGAGATGAACTGAAAGAGAATGACTCTGAATCCCGAAGACTCTGTGGAGTTTGCTGGGTCATTATTGTGCATCTGTTGATTTTTTTTTTCTGAGACATATTTGGATGGAAGTTTGTGAGTACTTTTTTTTTTTTAAATCTTACTCCCTCTTTTGCATTTAGAGATGCAGCTTCGTAACACAGCTAACGATTGGTAATTGAATCAGAGACACTGTTGGATCTCCCAACTTCCATTTCAATTATAGTCTTTAAAGATTTTTGGAATTTCATAAGTTACTCATGCAAAAAATATTTGCTGACATTCCACTTATGGTATGTCTGTGGGCAGATTCAAGTAACAGAATGAAGCAAACCCTAAAACTGTGAGTGATTCTATTACATGAAATTTTTTGGGATGCTCACATTCAGATTCCTGATCACTGTTCAAACATGGATTGTTATTTGTAATTGGTGAGCTAATTCACAAAGTTATAATTTTGTGTGTGGACTATGTGAATTTAAAAGCTCATGTGGTCTTACTATCCGTATTAACAGTTTTAAAGCATGTTTCTGGAGCAAAAGGTCACTTTGAAATTAACTTCGTATGAAAATTAGTGCCAGGAAAATATGTTCTCAGTGATCTACCTAGAAAGCAAATGAGGAGAGGATGTGAACATGATTAAAGTAATTTTTTAAATTAAAATTTGTATCTGTATTCAAATAATACTTTCTGGAGAACATATCTGTGGTCCATGAAGCATACCAAAGATGTTTTCCTCTGGCTGTGATGGCTGTGTTACCTAACTGAGATTTTGTAATGAAAATCTGTATACATTTCTTTCTACACTTGTAAGAAAAGAATTGCCAGGAAAATCTTCCCATGGTGGATACACACAAAGTCACACCAAACCTTCACTCTCAGGATGGAGAAAGTAGAGTTGTAAAATGCAGTTCAAAATGTAA